TTGAATGACCCAACCTCAAGTCACTTTTTTGCAACTTTGTCACCGTGCCAGAGCTACAGTAGATGTCGGAGGCCTTTGAAAGTCGCAGGATGTTATTAGGTCATTAGTAGCTACAATTTGTATATCTCGGCATTTTGATATCGGTGACCTAAGGTCAGGTCAATTTCTCGACATCCCCATTATAAGTCAATGGGGGGAAAATCAACTCCCTGTTTTTACCACTAAAACGTGTCGGAATGACCCCATATACCATACATGACTTCATATACGATCAACCTTCACTACCTTGAGGTATGTTTTGCTGTTGGGCAGCTGTAAGGTCATGTGACGTCATCAAAGGTCACCAAAGGTTTTTTTGCCAATAACTCCGTACAGGAACAAGATACAGCCGCGCGGATGGTCTCATTGTGTTCAGCTCGTCAAGACGCATCGAATGATATAAATGATCACCTCAAGGTCACGTGACCTGAGGTCAACCTTTGACCTTGACCTTTCGAGGTCAACATATATATCATTCGATGCGGATTGGCGAGAGGATCACGATAATGCCCTTAGTTTGTTCCTATCTTGACTAATTCGAAAGTTATTCGAGAAAAACACTCCATATCCAGCGCCGCCATTTTGACCTTTTTGACCCCTGTGACGTCATCTTTGACCTGACCTGAAAATGACCTTAGTAAAAATTGTACACCTTGTCCGTACGTATCCGATGCCGTTTACTGCTTGTCGCTATCTTGCTTCGTTCTCGAGATCTCAGGGGGGGGGGCGGTCATCCGCCCCCCCCCCCGTCGGTACTAAGTTGGCGCAGGCTAAGTTTGTCGGTGCGGGGCGGTTCCACCCCCCCCCCCCCCATATGTTTTTTTGCGATGTCAGAATCGACGATGATGTCAAAATCGCGGCTTTGCGACCATTTTTTTACGAAGTAATTTACCTAAAACCAAACCCGTACCTTGGACCTGACCTTGCAGGGGTCACCGGTTGAGCTGATACCTTAAAATTGGGTACCAGTCGCTGCGTCTCGTAACGGCGCATACGCTCTTTTTTCCGCGACGCTCTAGCTTCATCAAGGGCGAAACGGCGAGGGAGGTCGTATTCCCTCCCACCCCACCCCCGCCGGCCGGCGCGTATATAGAAAACCAACAGGCCCGGCGAGGGTTGAAGTTCCGACTTCCAATATCAGATTTGGGATTAAACATGTGCTAAAGAGGGTTCATTCATACTGCGCACTTCCAGGTGGGTCGTTTGGTGCGGTCGCTGCACCCGGCGCGGCCGACCTGCCGCAACCGAGCACAGGGGTCGAGAGGCAGTCCCGGGCGAGCGGAGCTGCTGCTGCACTGGGAGAGGTCAGTGCCGGGCCGCCGCGGCTCCGGCACCCACACAGCTCCGGTAGCTGCCGGGTCAGGAGCTGCGCCAGCTCCGGGGCAGCCGGGTCAGGAGCTGGGCCAGATCCGGGGTAGCTGGGTCAGAGCTGCGCCAGCTCCGGGGCAGCTGGGTCAGAAGCTGCGCCAGCTCCGGGGCAGCCGGGTCAGAAGCTGCACCAGATCCGGGGTAGCTGGGTTAGGAGTTGCGCCAGCTCCAGGGCAGCCGGGTCAGGAGCTGCGCCAGCTCCGGGGCAGCTGGGTCAGGAGCTGCGCCAGCTCCGGGGCTGCCGGGTCAGGAGCTGCGGCAGCTCCGGGGCAGCTGGATTAGGAGCTGCGCCAGCTCCGGGGCAGCTGGGTTAGGAGTTGCGCCAGCTCCGGGAGCAGCTGGGTTAGGAGTTGCGCCAGCTCCGGGGCAGCTGGGTTAGGAGCTGCGCCAGCTCCGGGGCAGCTGGGTTAGGAGTTGCGCCAGCTCCGGGAGCAGCTGGGTTAGGAGTTGCGCTAGCTCCGGGAGCAGCTGGGTTAGGAGTTGCGCCAGCTCCGGGAGCAGCTAGCTCATAGAGGAAGCTCCAGTAAGGTAGTTCAGCGCCCAGCGGGGAAATCTCCGCGGAGGGGAAGAAGGGGGCTGGAAAGCCCCGCCGGTTCACCGGGAAGCTGCGGTCCATCACTGCGCCATCCGCGAGCCGGCTCAACAGGAAGGTTCTAATAGCTACTGGAGGCCGCCTCCGGCGTGCTCGACCCTGCAGGGACTTGATACTTGATAGGGATTGATACACCTGACACCTCTCAGCGCATATTACAGCTGAGAAAACTATTGACTTAAAAAATGATCCAAACCATTTTAGTGAAAGGATTCACAAGGACAGAGCCCCCGCTAAGCGGAGCTTGTTGCGTCGGCCCTGCCCTCAACCTTCCGATCGCGCAATTCCTTATCTATAGCACTAAGGTATAGCAGAATTTAGAGTGCAAACGCTTCGACCGTATAAGGAGAGGGGGTCGAACGGACCCCCCTAAGGTTTTTCTTGAATAACTCACGTAAAAAGCGGCCGATCGCGACGAAACTTTCAGTACCTTCGCGTTTATCAGTTTTATACCTAACCTGAAAATTTCATGACCTTGGCCCAAATGACGGCTCTGTGCGGCTCTGCCACACGGTTTCGTCACCAGTATGTAATTAAAGCAGCAGCAGTGCCCACTGCCCAGCAACTTGCGTGATAAGCAGAGTGCGGAAAAGGTTAGCATAAAGTGAGCAATATATCATGTCTGACATTTGACTTCCTCCCACGCGGGCTGCATAAAGAAGCAGTAGGTGGGTTTTACAGCGGCACTGTCAGCCATATGTGATTGCCAACGGAGCGGCCATAGCCTCCAACCCCTTCTCAAAGCATCGCCTGATCTGGATCAGCAACCGAACTCGGCAAAAACTGTCTGCATGGAACGTCAGACATTTAATAATACAAAAGGTAAGTAGAAAGAGCTGTACCACTAAGTGTGCAATAAAACACATAGCAACCTATGATCTTTGCTTGGCTCAACGTTCATGCTAGATATTCATGTAAGACAAAAATGATTAATAAGACAATGGCATGTTATCCCGGGTCAAAGGGAAGGAGTTCCGTAGAAACTCCTACATATAAGGCCTTAGAAACTCCTACTCGTCACTGCAGATAAACTCAGAGTTGGGCTTCTGTTCAGTGCAATTCATCAGGATCAGGATCATTGACCTCGGCTATTTACTTTAATACTGATAAAATATGTAATAAATGAGAAGCACTCCCCAAATCTTCAAAAGTTTACGCAGCCACTCGTAATTGCTTCTCACGCTAAATCATACCAAGAGAAAACAAGTCCGTGGAAGTTGGGAACAACGAGCTTGTCACGATCCTGACAGACACCGAAGCCGCTACTCTGATGATAGAGACTGAGTAGTTTCCTAGGCCGACAGACCTGACAAAGTATCGCGAGCTCTATCAGGAAATGCGGGCACAGTTAATTGCCCAGGGCCTGGACGGTGACCCTATGTCTGATCCTGAGCTAGCGAGATACCTGTCTCATGGGAGTAGAAGGAGCAAATAGGGACATGCAGATGGAAGTTTTTTTTTTACTGCACTGTGTACAACGCGTGTCCATATTTACTATGTCATGCATGCTGTTATCGAATACGTGTGTTGCCTAGTCCGTGGATCCACTCACACGAAGTGTTTACACGACGAAGTGAGGTCGGACAAGTTACACTGCGCCAGCCCGCTTTCATTTGCGATAGAGCGGATCGGCGCCGTTGGTCCGCGGACCGCCTCTGGGACTACTCGGGGTACCCTGGTCTTCCGGTCCGCGGCCGGGTCTAATGCTGCTGTCTCGGCGGTGACCGCGGACGCTAAAGGTCAGATGGGCGCCGCCCGGGCCGGTAGCCGTCTGCGAGCCGCTAGATCGGGGCACAGCGACGGGCCTCGGCAGAGGAATGGACCTGGACGGGGGTGCGAGCTTCAGGAGAGGGATTGGCCATGGGACGAAGGGGTTAAAGGGATGTGCCACGACAGAGAAATGGACCTGGGCAGAGAGCTGTCCGACACGGGGTGGATTGACTAGGATGGGATGGAGGGAGGTATCGTATGACGGCTCAGAGCGACGGATCAGATAGAGGGAAGGACCATAGGAGGGAAGTGAGGACGACAAGGTTAGTTTGGACGCATAGATGGAGCTCTGTAGAAAATAGGGTAGGCCGACCAAAAAAGGGGAACGGACTAGAACAAAAAGGACCGACCAGGAGGGAAGATCACCCAGGATCAGACAGACTGAGACTAACCGCCGAGTTTATCCCGCAAAAAAAAACGTAAATCTCCTAACACAATTCGAACCAGAGTAGCTACCAGACAGACAGGATCTAAGTGTTATGTCGGGAGTCAACGGGCGCCGTCATCGGAGCGTGTTAGGTCCTCCGACAGCCGCAACAGAGCGCGGAGATAGCTCGTGCCGAAGTCAGAAGAAGTCAGAAGAAGTAGTCAGAAAAAGTTCCTTCAGTGCGCACAATATTCGGTCTTGGTGGTGTACGGCTATATATTTTGAGATCATGATTTATAGTCCATAGTGGAAAACACAGCTACTGTAAGAAGTGCAATGCTCCCGAAAGCCTTACGCCCAACACATGTAAGCGCAGATGTCGCCACTGCCGCTACCAAACCAACAGACGTCGCTCCCAACGGGCCGCACTCAGCTATGGGTTTCAGATGTAAATACTCCCCAGTCATCCAGCTCCGTAATTACCAGCGAACGACTTCAGGATTTTTGAAAAACATGAGGTAACCAATAACCATTTACCTCAACATAACAACATATCGTGTGTCCAGTGGGCTATTGAAAACGACGCGCAGAAAACTGCGCCGTATAGGCATCTTCCGATAGGACGGAAGAGTAGTGAATGTTCTGATCGTTCATGTACTGCCGTGATTTCAAGTGGAAATTCCACTTTACTTACCATCGTTTGGGAAAGTTAGCGAAGAAATGAATAAAGAAACAAGCGTAACAAAAGAATTAACTGGTCGTCGCAATGTCAAATACAAAGGTGTCTTCGATATGTATGTAACAAGGGAACGACATCACAGAAGACATTTTTTCGTAACTCCCGGACAACAATAAGGACAAGCGTCCCACGATGCTAGTAAAATAACATTTATTTTACTGAATTTATTTCATCTTAGCTATTCAGAGTACACTGAAGTTCTAAAGTTAAGCTCTTTTCGGAAGTGAACACGGCATAAAGTTGTGTTTACATTAAAGGACAACGTTGCTGTTGAATGATCAGCGCGGGTACGTAGCGCATCGTGACATGGCAGGGCAGCGTCGCGGGCCGTCCCGTGCGTCGCTCAGGCGACACAGCGGACACCGGCGAGCTCCGCCGATCCGCAGTTGTGGGCCCCCCAGCCGAGGTAATCGCAGGCCAGCAGGTGCGATTCGCTGCCGCTGCAAGACACGTCGTCCATGTAGAAGTTGAGCCCAGTACCATTACCAAAAGTGGATTTTTTGGTTGGCAGTCCTGACCTGCAAACGTTAGTGGGATGTTGAGAGTTCGATCCTGAAAAGGGTATGATAAGTGGACAACATGTCGTTTCCTGGCAAAGACAAAGCATAAAGACAAAGGTAATGGCGACCTAAGTGAAATACATATGTCTGGACTGCGTAATTATAACAATGAACTTGATTTCAGCTTGTTATCTTGAAAATTTAAACATATGCCCATCAGATTATTGCTGTACGAGATCTTACATAAGGTATGCAGATGATCTAATGTCGAAGAATATCGAGCTTTTTGTAAATATACAAAAGAATTACGAATGACCAATAGTAGAGTTATTGTGATCGAGGTTCAGGAATTTCTTAGCCATCCTCAACTTTGAGCACAATATCTAAAGCGCATTACGTACCCAAAGCCGAGCGTTCTACACACCACACTAGCGTCCCTGACATCCCATTCGTCATCGCAGACGACACCCCAGCGGTCGCCGCTTGGTCTCAGTTGGATGTTGCCCTCAGTGCAGTCAGCACCCCCAAATAGGCGATACTCATCTGAAAAAAAATCGCTCAACGTTAATAATTCTCGCCGGAATAGAGACAGATGAACCTTCCCCTAAGGTATTCCGTAAATATCTCAATAACCCGTGACTCACTTGGCTAGGCTTGATGATAGCTTCGTCATCATCATTCATAATTATAGCTAACCTAAGCGTTTTACTTTCCTTTCTGATCAAGTTAACAAGCTATAACATCCCACATTAGGTTGCGTTCGGCCAAAAAGCAACGGTTTGTGTTTCAGCTACATTGTATTGCCTCAGAACAAAGCAAGAAATTTTGTGTTTGATATAGGTTATCTAGCAGTCCTATAATGTCTCCCTGATGAATACCGATAAACTTGATCATATAAAGAAAGAGGAATCACGTTGCAACTTACCAAATTACCCGTTACTTTGAAATGTCGTATTTTATGAAAGTACTACATTCTTTCATAAATATTTCCTTCCTCAGAATTCATACAATCATTTTACGAATCGTAGCAACAGATGAGATGAGGACGAATTGACATCAGTACCTACTCACAATTTTGTGTCGTTTTGGGGACGCAGGAGCAGGTCCCCGATGTGCACTGGAGACCACCGTTTGACCTGCAGTCCCGGTCATCCACACATGGCCCATCCTTGTCCACCGCTGAAACTGCGGAGGCAGCAGCACCTCGTTGGTATTTTTCCATCGATATACGGGTGGGAAGGCATACATCAGGCAATTACATTATATGTATATTCTATATATTCAATATCTTACATTCTATATCTTTACATTCTATATCTGTTTTTTATTATAGCTGATCAAAGCGTTATTCGGGATTGATGCACTGGTATTGGTTTGGGAATAAGGACTCCGGCGACAAGTAGCATATGGTCTACAGGGTGGAAAGTAATTACCCGAACATACTTTTTCGTCTTATAGCAATGGAAAAAGCGGCGGTAACATGAAAATTTCATCTTTTCATATATTCCTATTTATGTGCGATACACTGACAAAGGCGTTCAGGCATAATTGTTATGAGCATGTCAAGCACTGTTGGCCAAAGCTTAGTCCACGCCTCCTGGAGCTGTCTGGTGAGGCAATCGATGTTGGTGGCTACTAGCAGCTCTTAGACGCTCTCCTGAAGAGTCGCCTGGATATTTTTGATCAAATTGAGGTCTGGGCTATTCCCAGATTGACCATTATATGCCCAGAAGAAGAACGGGTTCTCAAAGCATCAGTCTTGCGTCTTTTTGGCCGTGAGAGGAAGGACTTTATCAATCATGAAGAAGAGTTTCTTTGCGTCGGGCACAAAAGTGCGCTCAATCATTTTGCCCCTTTTGGTGCATTGATGGATTAGATAAAGAGACTCGTCTGGAAGGATGTTCCACTAGTTGTATACTTTATTTTTAGTGGCCTTGTTGGTCACTACATGCAATTCTGACACCATCCGGGCGCTCATAACACGCTGATGTGTGTTCCTTTGCCGGATGTTTGAAGGTTGGGACGGGCGGGACGTCGGACGCATCAGCAGCCCCCAACACGTTGTTCTGCAGGTTTGACGGATGAAATAGCTTCGATGATGTCTCATCCAACCACAAAGCCAGCCGCCTGTCCTCCTCTGTTCAGGTTTGGCGGTCTTAAGAAAACTTAAATTGACAATCCTGCTGTTAATTCATGAATTTTGGCCATCTCGATTGTTTGTACGGCTTGATTTTCGAATTTTCACGGATTTATGTATGAATCGTGATATCTTAGATCGGGTACCCGGCCAAAGTAAACCATTTCGCCTGTTTTCGGGTCGACTGTTGTCGTTTGGTCGCGGAAATGGTGACCACCCATTCGGCGCCTGAATTCGCCCAGGTTTTATTGCCGCCAACGGCTTTGCTTTTTAAGTCCTCTTAAGTTTTATTATGCTTCAACCAAAGGTGTAATTGAGTAATGCTGGTGCCGAGACCATTCCGAGTCCCTTCCGCACCAATCCAGCCAAAATAATCACAAACGCTTTCCCTGGCATGACTTCAAATTGAGCTCTTTGCCCATTTTGGTCTTTAGCAGCGTATGGCGTCAGCACCACTCGAAGCCGAGAGGTGTTGTAGACCTTCCAAGTCATTTTTCAAAGTAAGGTCACTTTTGTTAGATGAGGCGACAACAAACACGACCAGTCATGTTCCATAACAGCCCGCGCTCATACAAAATCTCCACTGACGGGCGAAATTGTAAGAAAATACATGTTCGCGTAATTACTTTCCACCCTGTAAATATACCCCAAGCAGTCAGACAGACGACTGTTAGAGCAGCCATGCTGCCAGAGTTCAGGCCACCTGTTTTTACCCGTCAACTGGCAGAGCAAACCTGCTGTCGGACATGAACCTTAGTGCATCCCGCCTCATTCGAGTGGAGGCCAAAATTTGGGTATTACTAGCATCCAGACTATTGGTCGCTGGAACCCTTGTCTTAAGACCAATCGTACAATCTCGCGTTTGTTATAGGACTATGCAGCGAAGTTATCCCGCGCCCTGCTGGGGGGGGGGGGTGTTTGAACACCCCCCCCCCCCTTGTGGTTTTTCGCGAATATCTCAAAAACGGCGGCGCGGAGCGCCGCCGTTTTTGGTACACCTTATCATACATCAATTCTACACACGTTGTGAAAATTTCAGACCAAGGTCATTCAAGGTCAGGTCACCAGGTCACTTGAAGTGACCTCACCTCATAAAAAGTTTCAATGTCTGTCATAGCTACACCAAGTGACCGATCGCTTTGAAACTTTCAGCGATTGCTAAGAGCAATAGCATGTACAAAATGTATATCTCAGAATTTTGATATCGATGACCTAAGGTCAGGTCAATTTTGCGACCTCCCCATTATAAGTCAATGGGAGAAAATTGGAATGCGCCTCTTTTGGGCGAAAGACATTATAAACACTCCCAAACACCGAATTACAAGTGTTTTAGACACACTGAACATGAAAATGGTGCCCGTGACCCTTGTTTATGCCCTGGGGTCATCTTAGGTCACGAATGGTATCTAACAGTTTTTCGCAAATAACTTTTGGTAGAGGCATGCTAAAGCGACGAAAACGCCTTAGATGTGTTCAGCTAGACGATACGGATCGACTGATATGCAACATGACCCTTTCCGGTCAGGTCATGACCTTGACCTGAGGTCAAATTTTCAAGTTGACCTTTCAAGGTCAAGTTATAGTTCATTCGATGCGTCTTGACGAGAGGAACACGATGCTTGTAAAAGTAAGCTCGTACAAGGCTTGGGTCAAAAGTTATTGCAGAAAAATTGTTTGCGAAAAAATCGGCTATTTTTGCAGTTTTTGCCCCCTGCAGGCAAAACCGTTGACGGTAGGTCAAATCTGAGAGAATTACTCAGAAAGGGCGTTAATAGGGCTATCGAATGCGCTTTTCCGCGGCGCTGTAGCTCTATTGGTTCCCGAGTTATGCGTTGGCTTCTTGGAAATTTTCGACATTCGACCTGGAAATCGGCGAAATTTTGCCTTCAATGACCTCTGGTGACCTGACCTTTGACCTGAGCAAAAAATTGACCGAAGTGATTTCGTCATTATTTTTTACGCTCTTTCGAACGCCGCCTTCCGCGTATCGCTACGTGGCCCAGGAGCCGAGTTACAAGGGGGGGGGGGGTGTTCAAACACCCCCCAGCAGGGCGTGGAAATCCAGGACCCCCAGCTGGGCGCGGGTTATCTATCCGGCATTAGTTCGATTATTGGCGTTATTACCTCTCCTGCATTCCTTATTCTGATAGTTCCAGAAGCCTGTGCTGCAACTGCATCTGCTGCTTGCACAAACCGCGTTTGGCACCAAAGTCTGAAATCACAAACTTAGTATGAACAATAAACATGGCACCCCAATTGCCTTGAGGTCACTGGCGAATCCAGAATGGCGGTCTTGGACGCTGCAGGGACATAACCCCAAAACAGTTTCTCTAAATTAAAAACAAAACTTATCGGATTTCGATTTCTTACGCACTGTTGTGCAGTTAAAAACAATTTTTTCCTTAAAAAAGTCGCTTGGTTTTCGTTTTGTTCTCGACAAATCGCCAATTCCCGTTGACTTCGGGCACTGCGGGGGAGACATTTGCCCCAAATGCCCCCCCCCCCCCTAGATCCGCCAGTACATGAGGTCATCATACAGCACTTGATTTCACGCTATACGCCTCACGGGACATATATTTTTTTTCTGTATAAACCGAGGACGTGCAACTCATAACCCCCCCCCCCCCCCCAATCATCAGATCAACGGTCGAGATTTGGTCGAATTTTGGATAAATAACGTCGGCAAAAATGGTTACAGAGTTACAGACTGCAACGATTCTGATATAAATGGCAGCACATTTTAAGTTGATCAATGCCTCTTCCTCCTCACAAACCCCATCCGGTCCGGACTTGTAAAAAAAAAACTCCGGTGTTTTTTTACTTCAGTGACGTTATACAGTGGCGTCATACATTCTCTTTGCCCTGTAACCTGTAAAGTAGGTTACAACTTACTTAACTTTTCTCTGTACGCTGTCCCGCACCAACCTGACAGTCCACGTTTTCCACACAGGGCTCGTCCAGCCGAGCGTGCTGCTGACAGCGGCCGTCGGTCGTCTGTCGGTAGCCGTCTCTGCACGTGCACACACCCGTGGAGGAGCACCTGGTCTCCGGCATCATCCTGGAGCAGTCCGACTCCAGGTCGCACTGCTGGCCCACCACCAGCTCTGCGCGAGACACAGTGGACCGTCAGGAACAGCGCACGGTCAGAGACAGAGGAACAGATCAATATCAAAACGTTACATATCAAACTAATCACTCTTAGTGAAGTGATATTGAATTTCATGAAACTTGTTATCAAGCGAAATATTTAAATAGTTTCAGAATATCGCAAAAGTACTTCTTAGAATAAAATAATAGAATCAAATGTAGTGAAATGAATCAAAATAAACTGTCAAATACAATACAATAGCTTCAGTACAGTTGTTCGGAAAAAGAAGAGCGAGTCAGAAATGCCATGATCCACGCCCGTCTCCTTACTGGGTATCAGGTCGACAGCGTCTTTGATGGCCGACAACTGGAGGTTGGCGGGCGCCGCTTGGTGCACTGTGGCCACCAGACGTCCGAAGAAGGCCGCCCGCGAGCCCTCCGCCCTGTCCAGGCCGGTCTCTACCGCTGTGGAGAGGGCCGACTGGGACTTGGCCAGCGTGTCGAGCCGGCTGACCGTGCCGTTCTGCCAGTCCTGCAGGCCGTCCAGTGGACGCAGCGCGCCCTGAACGGCGTCGAACCGATTGGATACCTCAGACTGGAGCTGTGTTAGGCTGTCACCGCTGGTACCGCTGGAGGACGTGTTGCATTGTTGGGTCATTCTGTCAAACCGTTCGATAGTTTCAGCTTGCGACCGTTCGATCGTATCCAGTCTTTTCTCCAGGTTGGTGTGAAGCTGCAGTTGCTCGCGCTGCGAGTTCTGGATGACCTCCAGACGGCTGGAGACCGCCGCTAGCCCAGTCTGGATGGCCGCCAGAGTCTCCTCGATGGTGTTCAGCCTCTCGGCGGTGGCGGAGCGGTCTCCAGACTGGGAGACCTCCACCAGCGCCGCCATCAGCTGTTGTAAAGTCACATCCTGCTCCCTCGCAGATCCATCCAGCCCGTCAGCCACGCTCGCCACGGCAGCCGCCACGCCCGGTGTCCGCAACTCAGCACCTGACGCGTACCAACCGCCGGCCGGCGGTGCCATGGTAGTGGGGTCCGAGCGGACCCAACCCAGTAGAACAAACACGGAAAGAAACACCAGCCTCAGCATGGTGATTCCTTGACGTTTCCAGCGCGACTGGCAGTCCTCAGACGGTGTCACTCCGACGAGCGGAACGCGGAAGGTGTCAGCCCGACCACTGGCCTCTGGACGGTCCCAGCCAGGGTGTTTGTCTCAGCTCAACTGACCGCCAGTCTGGTAACAGCTAGTGACAGTGACAGCCCTGGGCCGTGTTTACGCATGTTTGAACATTCCACCCAAATGCCTGGCATGCGCAAAACACTGAACTATGTGTTTATTGGAAATTTGGTGCAAAGGGTCGCAAAGGGTGCAAATCGATTCGCCAAGTGTAGCTACTAAAGGTCCACAGCTAAAAACTGACACAAAGTTTGGCAGTTATTGTACCTATCTCCAGAGCGGAGAAACCAATCAAGCTTTACTTACCGACTTGTCTTCGTAGAAAATAACCAGACCTAAGTAGGGGAGAGTGGGACACATTCGTGCAAAAAATTGATAAATCCATTTACGAGTATCTGTTCTTTGGTGCAATGATAAAATTGGACCTAACCGAACAGGATACCTAAAGCTTACTTACATCCACATTCCATACCGCTAGGCGGTAACGCATCGTATCCGATTTCAAATACCAATCTTCCCTTATAACAACATAACCTTTTATTGTCAACCGGCGTTATCTTACGGTGACTGCCCGGAAGCGGGCCGATTTACTACCGTATCGTGTCGGGGGACCGGGAGCCCCACACCAGCGGTGTGACCGGCGTCTGTGGCCGCATCTCGGCAGGGTCACGGTCGGCTGGGTCTTCTCACGGCCGTGGCCCAGTGGCCCGTGACAGACTGGACGGGCCTCCGGTCGGTACGGGCGCCGCGCCGGCCGCTAACAGCGCTAACGGTACGTCCGGCCGCCGGCCAGCCGGCAACGCGCCGCCTGGCTTCACTGCCCGTACGGGCAACGATCGCTGTCCGACTGCCCGCTGTCCGTAAACGGCAGCGAGCTGGCATCTCCCTATGTCATCACAAACAACATCGCTTTACAGATGATAAATGGGACAAAAGTCTTGTGCAGCCTTAAAGAGCCAGCCACCGAAGCGGACCCTATCCGGCGACCCTGGTGATCTGACTGCAGTGAACGGATCCCACTGCGCCTGCGGTCAACGAAGCGGCACAGACACTGCGTCGGCTTTGATGACCTGGCTGCAGTGGGAAGGGACCTAACTGCACCGCCGGCCGGTCAGGCGTGACGCCCGTGCCGGTATCGGTCAGTTAGAATCAAGTACCGCTCAGCGGCCTGACTGATCAACATTGCGACATCAGAGCATTGTCCCGCTCCTCCCACCCCTGCCCTGACCGACGCCCACGTCCCATCCTCGACCATACCGCTGTAGCACGACTCGAACAGCTACAGCCCGTTCCGTCCACGCAGGGTTGGACTGGGACCGCAGCTGGCCGCAGCCGGGGACAGCGCCGGAGCCCTCCGAGCTGCCAGCAGCCGTCTCCGGTCAACGGTATATGTGGAACGCTCTCAGCTGGGTTCGGAGCGCCGCAGCCGGGCCGGCGGAGGAGCCCGGTACAGCGCCGCACCGCGCCGCGCCGACAGTTTTGGCCGGCGCCGACCTGCGCGCAGTGCTCACGGAGAGGCGGGGAGCTAGCGAGTGCTCCTGGAGGGATTGATAGCCAGTGTGGTGTTCTGGAGAAGCAGAAGCTCGTAAGGAACACGAGCACAGAGTCGGGCAGGTTGTGTGCTAGTCCGGAGACACGACCTGACAGTGCGTGAAGTGTTTTGTGTCTGTGACAGTAGCGAACATCAGTGCGAGATACCGGTGGTTTTGGGTTCGCTCAAATCCAAGTGATTCGTCCAGTCAAGAAAATTGCAAATAGCAAAGCTTTGGAGATGAGCGTCTAGCTTATTCGTCACTGGTCTTCCAGACTATTGGTGAGATTCGCAACCACGCGTGGGACAACAGGAATTGACGAAACTCATCTTCTGTTCGAACTTCTTCCCAATGTCTTTGATTAGGATGTATCAAGCTTTCGCCTGGTAGTTCATCGTTTTATCCTGTGCCCTGACCAATATCGTTAAAATGTTTGTGTCTGTAAGCACAGTAGACACCAGCTATGGGTATGGGTAGGTACCCGGTGTGATCAGCCTTTCCACCCAACTCTTTATCATATGAAGTGATAATAATGCATAATTTGGGGCCCGTTTAATTGTCTGGCAACTGAGATCTTGCAAGTTGAGAGAGCTGAAAAGCCTGTAACTAAGATGATTGTAAAAATCCTCTTTACTGCAACTTTATCGGCGAGATACACACGTGTCAGTAGTTGATCATGTCTCTCTTTCACCTTACGTTAACCCGCGCCCTGCTGGGGGGGGGGGGGGTGTTTGAACACCCCCTTGTGGTTTTTGGTACACCTTATCATACATCAATTCTACACATGTTGTAAAAATTTCAGACCAAGGTCATTCAAGGTTAGGTCACCAGGTCACTTGAAGTGACCTCACCTCATAAAAAGTTTCAATGTCTGTCATAGCTACACCGAGTGACCGATCGCTTTGAAACTTTCAGCGATTGCTAAGAGCAATAGCATGTACAAAATGTATATCTCAGAATTTTGATATCGATGACCTAAGGTCAGGTCAATTTTGCGACCTCCCCATTATAAGTCAATGGGAGAAAATTGAAATGCGCCTCTTTTGGACGAAAGACATTATAAACACTCCCAAACACTGAATTACAAGTGGTTTAGAAACACTGAACATGAAAATGGTGTCCGTGACCCCTGTTTATGCCCTGAGGTCATCTTAGGTCACGAATAATATCTAACAGTTTTTCGCAAATAACTTTTGATAGAGGCATGCTAGAGCGATGAAAACGCCTTAGATGTGTTCAGCTCGACGATACGGATCGACTGATATGCAGCATGACCCTTTCCGGTCAGGTCATGACCTTGACCTGAGGTCAAATTTTCAAGTTGACCTTTCAAGGTCAAATTATAGTTCATTCGATGCGTCTTGACGAGAGGAACACGATGCCGGTAAAAGTAAGCTCGTACAAGGCTTGGGTCAAAAGCTATTGCCGAAAAACTGTTTCCGAAAAAATCGGCTATTTTTGCAGTTTTTGCCCCCTGCAGGCAAAACCGTTGACGTTAGGTCAAATCTGAGAAAATTACTCAGAAAGGGCGTTAATAGGGCTATCGAATGCGCTTTTCCGCGGCGCTGTAGCTCTATTGGTTCCCGAGTTATGCGTTGGCTTCTTGGAAATTGTCGACATTCGACCTGGAAATCGGCGAAATTTTGCCTTCAATGACCTCTGGTGACCTGACCTTTGACCTGACCAAAAAATTGACCGAAGTGATTTCGTCATTCGTTAGGCGGCACGGGCGGACATCGATAGCAGCGCCTCTATCGGTCACTAGGGAAAGCTGGGCTGTAGGCGACGAAATACCGGCTGAGTTGTCACACGTTGAATAGGTTTATAGCCATCCGTCTTGTGAAAAAGTTGAACTTTTGCCTTTAATATTTCTACAGGCAATTTTAGAAGTGTCTTCACATGGATTACAAAACCGTTTAGATTATTGTATTCACTTCAAGCCTTCCCTATTGTTCTTGATGATGCGGGAACTATTTCTAATTAGTGTTTCTAGCTTAGTAAAAGAACATACTGTGCAAACGATGAAAAAACATAAATGGAAGATTTTAAATGCAATTTTCTCTAACAATTAATGGTAAATTCTCTACATATCAAGGAAAAGGTGCATGTTAACTGATAATTTAAAGTTCTTGGGGCCAGTTGTTCTCTTCATTTCTTACGTCGCCCCAATGGCCGCGAATACACTTGTGATAACGCCTATCGTATTTTTGACGCTCTTTCGAACGCCGCCTTCCGCGTATCGCTACGTGGCCCAGGAGCCGAGTTAGGGGGGGGGGGGTGTTCAAACACCCCCCCCCCCCCCAGCAGGGCGTGGAAATCCAGGACCCCCAGCCGGGCGCGGGTTAATGGGCATACATTAGTGCCTAAGACACGGGCACCACTTCGGTTGTAGCAGAGGCTTGCTACGTATTATTTACTTTTCCGCATTACGTCGCCTGACGGCAGTGATATAAAAAGGGGTGGTGGTTTGCAAAGTTTCCTTTTTACCCTTGCGCCTGAAATGGCAGAATATGACGGATCAGCTATAATTTAATGTAACAAAATAAGCTGATCAGAGGCCGGTTCGAGATGGCGCACTAGGAAGCCAGTAAGACTAGGCGGCCAAGTGACACTTGAAGGTAGTGACACTAAGCGGTATTTTACACCAATCGGCTATGGCTCAGCGCGAACCGCATCGCCTGGTGACACTTGAAATCAGGTGTCACTGGGGCCTTAGTGCGCCAACGCGAGCCGGCTGCTGCGGCAGAACTCAAACGCAAGCGGTTTCCAAGCTTTCATTTATCCGCAGGATGGCGCCTGGCGGATATTTAGAACATGCGACTACGGGACGCATCTTACGTTAGTATATAGAGAATTTCACCCACTCTATTCGACTATTTGAATTCAACTCATGTGTCTTTCTGCCAGCTTTGTTTTCACAGCCGCCGGGGCCAGTCAACCAGCATGGAACACTTTCCCTGGCGAGCAGTTTGTTCCGAGCACCGCGGTATCTCACAGGTTATGGGCCGCGGGCCAGAGCCACCGGTTCCGCAGACGGTAGCACGTCGAAACGAGCGAACAGTTTCACAGGAACAGAACACGTGTTGCGAGCTATCTGGGCAATCCAACAGGAGAATAAACAGAGAACATTGAAGAAAAAACGTCGCAAAAATACTTAATGAACTGCTTCTAGATAAATCGCATCAGTTACGGATATATGTAGACAGCGGAAGGAAGAAGCGTCGTGTCATTCCACGCCGTGATAATGTCAGTGAAAAGAGCAGCTGAGGAGAAGTTGATATAAGACGTTTAAATTTAGCCCACTCGATCGTAGAAACGTCCGCGAATAAACAACAAACATCGGGGACCAGCAAGTTTAATTCCGTTTGGGTTTACATTCACGAGAACTAGCCGGCGTTTCCGCCAAGACAGTTGGCGAACGGAACGACTCCTTCATTCCTCTTCAGAATGCCACCAGCCGGTTCGTGCCATACGGCCGCCGCAGTCTCGGGGACACGTGCCGTGCGCATAGAGTGGCTAAACAGCCGGGCAACGACACGCGGCGTGCGTCACATTTCGCCGCGTCTGCGCCGTCTGCGCGCCGCGCCGTTTCTGTCGCCGTGCGGCGTGCGCCACTGACCGGCTTTACCCCACGACGGCGCCGCTGGATTTGGGCTAATAATTTACATCGCCCGGCTGTGCGCGCCGCGGCGCTCCCGGACCCAGAATGGTGTCGCCGACCCGTCTCGTGCCAGATTATTTAGCGTAACGTGACGTACCAATGAGAGGGTGTCTCGTGCGCCAAGCGTCACACCCGGGGAGGAAAGGAGGGCCGCAAACCAGCACAACAGGGCCTGAGGAGGGAGGGAGGCCTAGCGTCACACTTGGGAAGGGAGGGTGGCCTTGCGTCACACTTGGGGAGGTAGGGAGGGTTGCTAGCCCGCTAATACAACAGGGTCTGAGGAGGGAGGGAGCGTCGCCTAGCGTCACACTCGGGGAGGGAGGGTTGCTAGCCCGCTAATACAACAAGCCTGAGGAGGGAGGATGGCCTAGCGTCACACTTGGGGAGGAAGGGAGTATTATACCAGCCCGGCTCACCCGAGCCAGGTGAGAGAGGGAGTATCGGAAATTACTCCCTCTCCTCTGCCCTCACCAAGGGTAGGAGGTGGGGAGGGAGGGTCGCTAACCAGCGCACCCGGAGAGGGAGGGAGAATTATAGTGTATTTGTATTTGTATTTGACAGTTAAAACACTCTCCACAGTAAAATAGCTATTCCGAGTGTCGCGTCACGGTTAAAAGAAAGAAAAAAAACAAGTTAACCCGCGCCCCACTGGGGGGGGGGGGCTATTTATAGCCCCCCCTCCCGTTTTTCTGCAATAACTTCCAAACCGCTTGACAGATCGACGCCAAACTTTCAGTACCTTCGGCTGCATCAATTTGACACCTTGTGTCAAAATCT